CCTAGCCTCTCAGAATGCACCATTAAGTAATGAAAGCCATTACAAAGATTTCAAATTTTCCAAATATAAAAACCAAAAGTGGTAACTTTGAAGCAAATAGATGTTGAGATGGCCTTTGACACAAAACAAAGAATCCTGAGATTTAGGCAAGCCACAGACATGCAGCATGCAAGAAAGGAACCCAGCATTATTCAAAGCAATTGTTGTTTTCTGAAATCTCTAAGCAATTAGATACAATCTGTCTTCTACATGATTTTGTCTACATGATTGTGGTCTGGGACAGCAAAAAAATTAATATATCAAGTTAATATATAAGAAAAATTTATTAAAACACAGTTCTGGCTTAATAAGAGCTATGATAATCTGAGCTATGCATCCAGCTAGGTAACGTGGTGGCATTCATTGCAGGTGGCATAAATGGTGAATTGTTTTTCGAGTCCTGCAAATGTATTGATCCTACATAAAATATAAAGACTTGGTCTTCACTACATGGCTGTTCCTTCTGCAGAAAACAGAACGTAGGACTTGAAAGACAGAAGTAAATGAAAGAAAATGACTTATCCATTGGCTTTCCTCTGATTTGTACCAAACTTCTGAGAGCTGGCCATGTTGACTTTTTGATAGCCAGAACTGAATTGTTGCTCCTAATATCAACAGTGTTTTAAAGGCTGACTTGCTTCATTTTATAGCTTTATTATATATGGAAAATCATTTGTTGAAGACCAAGCTATGAAGTATACATGCAGAGAATTAGTGAAGTCTATACCTAATGGTTTTGTTTATAGTATGATCAAATTTGCTCATGCATTCTCATTCAGCCTTTCTAGACTAAGAGATGTTAGAACTAAGATAAAGCATACATACTCTATTTAGAGCAATCTTAAGTAAGATGTTTAATCCCTTCCTTCTGTATCTTTTGTGCTGATCATAAGCTTTTACCAATCAAATTAGGTTTATAAGCAAACTGAAATGTGCATTTTGAAGAAAAATGAACTATGCATAATTATAAAGTATAAGAAGACACCACTCTTTCCTGACAGAGCTCTGAGGTGAGGAAATGGGACTATAACTTGCAGAACATCATTTTTATTTTTGGTATTTTCAAGTGCATTTTGTATTAGGAGGGAAAATGAAGAAATCAGGGAAAAATTTTAGTGAAACCTAAATTTTCATTGATTCTCTTTCACTGCTCCTGCCTCTCCTGTGAAGGGTGCTTCAGCTGCCAAGCTTTCCTTACTATGTCCTGTGCAGAGATGACTACTCATCTTTGTTACCTCCTACAAAGTAAGGCAAAGTTTTTGTCCTCTAGCTGTAGGGGTCAGGATAGAACTTACTCAAATGATTGCCCCTTTCTGCTGAATGGAGCGGACAAGAGCAAGGACTGTCTAAATGCAAGAGAGCTCTTCATCTTTTTACACTTGTCGACCACCAGGGAAGCTTCCAGTGCCTTGGCATTCCCACCTGTGTGGACCCATTGACCCCAGAAAAGGGGATGGAATCTCTTATTTCAGTATGAGCTCCATTTGGTTCTCATTTTCCATGCTACAGAAAGAATAGCATTAGGAATATCCCCCCACCCTTGGAGAAAATCAGGCCTTACACTTAGAAGTTTGATTTAGATTCCAACAAAATGATTAGTCTGAGTCTTAGCAATCCATATTGCTAAATTAGTTTTATTCATACTTCCATGACTCTATTTGTAGGACACTAAGATTTTGGGTTGTAATTTAGCCTTTCTTAACATTTCTCATAAAATTTAAAACATCTTCATATACCTTCTCATATATGTAGTAAAGATGGTTTGAAACAACAATATGGATTTTCCTCAAGTTAGCCTCATCTCCCATCCCTTCCAGTCACTTTTCATTTTCATCATGTTTATCTTAGTTAGGTGTTCCTATTGCTCTGAAGAAACACAATGACTATGGCAACTCTTCTAAAGGAAAACTTTGAATTGGGTCTGGCTTACATTTTCAAAGGTTTAATTCCTTGTCATCAAGGCAGGAAGCATGGTGGCTTGCAGGCAGACATGTCGCTGGATGGGTAGCTGAGAGTCCTATGTCTGGATCTTCGGGTGTCAGAAAGAGAGAGTGAGCTACTAGGCCTGGCTTGAGCTTTTGCAACCTGAAACCCCACCTCCTGTGACACACTTCCTCCAACCAGGCTACACCTATGCCAATGAGGCCAAGTCCCCTAATCCTTTCAAACAGTGAGTCGTTGGGGGCCATTTTTTTTTTTTTTACTTTATTTTATTTTACAATATCATTCAGTTCTACATATCAGCCACGGGTTCCCCTATTCTCCCCCTCCCACCCTTTCCCCTTACCCCCAGCCTACCCCCCATTCCCACCTCCTCCAGGGCAAATCCTCCCCCGAGGACTGCGATCAACCTGGTAGACTCAGTCCAGGCAGGTCCAGTCCCTTCCTCCCAGACTGAGCCAAGCGTCCCTGCATAAGCTCCAGGTTTCAAACAGCCAACTCATGCAATGAGCACAGGACTTGGTCCCACTGATTGGGGGCCATTTTTATTCAAACTATCAAAATGTTCTTCATCAAATGATTCTCTAAGAATTTCCATGTGAGTTAATATTTATATTAGTATTCTTTTAAATTTTTTCTACTCAGCTAATTTAGTATGTAATGCCTAAGAAAATTTAAGTCTTTTGATCCAATATGACAGTAAGGAGGATAATTTCTTAAGAGAATGTCAAGCTACTACATTTCCTTCTGTATTTACAAGCAAAATTACTTTCCACTTCAGAAAATGGGTGATGATGAATCTCTTACACCCAAACATCTGAACACAGTTTTATTAAAGATAATTGGGAAACTGTGTTGGAATCACAACAAAAATAGAACAATAGAATGAAAATAGGAAAGATATACCAGAAAATGTCACCTTGTATCTAGTCTGAAGATTATGTCCCCTAAATAACCTGAGCTTAGCTGCATGCTCCTCACAGCTTACTAAGTAGGTTTCTAAGATCAGAACCCTGTGATTGTGATGGGGAAAAACAATTTAACAGGTTGAGTTTGCAATCATGAGGGGGCTGAGAATGAATTTAGATTCCTTTAAAGTAGAGTAAAGGTGATTCACCAGGGCACATCCATCAAGTATAAAAAGCCAATTGTAAATCCGAATAAAAACTAAAGAAATAAATGCCTCTTTAAATCTTCGTCTCTATGCTTTATTCAGTTTTCTGTGAGGTTATTCACATTTGCTCAAGGAATCATGGGATGAAATATATTCTGAATTTTAACAATATTTTCTGCTTTGTGAGTACTAGGAGAACAAGGCTGGGTAAATACATAGAGCCTTAGTTGGCAGGATAAACCAACATGCCAGTCAGTAAAGTTGCAAGACATCTGAGCCCCTGGAGAAGGGAAGACACAAGCTGTATGTTCCCCAAGGGGACTGTGTTGAATAGCCTTTGTATCCTACTTGAAGGAGAAGACGTGTTCCATTGGAACCCAGTTTGAAGTGGAACAATGCTTCTGGAGCCTTTTTCATCCATCCCACCGCTCCACACACAAGACGTCTAGCTGTCAACCTTACTTCAAAGCATGTTTCAGGAAGACAGAGGAAATCAGTTGATTGTATGTGGCTAAGAAGTGTTTCAAAGAACATTTTAAATAGTAATGGTGGTGAACAGCTATACTGATCAAGTAGTTCATGAACATTCTTTCATTTAACTTTTGCAACGACCCTGGGGGGTCTATTCAATGATAACCATTTTAAAGATGGAGACCTTTTGGTTTATAGAGGTTAAATCAGGCATCCCAAATAAGATATGGGGCCAAGACTCAAGCTAAGTCTGACCCCAGATCTCACATTCTTAACACTCATGATCTATTTCTTCTAACAGTGGCAATGAGACAAGTTAATGAACTTGGCTGCTTATCTGATCCCAGGCTGTGCTTCCTCTTTCAGAGGCTTTCAGCTGTGACATTGGTTTCCAGGGGCTGCCTTCTTCTTTTGTTTTAACCTGTACAAGCCCACATAATGAAGAGTATATGGAATAAAAAGGAAGTCATTCTCCCGTAATGCAGGCTTTTCAATAAAATACATATGTTTCTCAGTTGATTATTACTTTGTTAATTGTCACGACTCTATTCACACCATATTTCCAGAACTGATTTTAAGGCCATAACACTGTATTATACCTTAGGACAGAGCAACTGAAAACCAAGATTCCCAGGTTAGGATTAGGTTGCTACAGTAGTAAAGTTTAAGGGGATTATTGGAAAGTGGGTGACTTGTGTAGGTGAATGATGGTTTCTATTCTATCTTGTTAGCCTTTAATTGCAATCTCAAATCATTTATGTGACAGGAGTTACCCCTATGCTGAAGCCACATAACCACATTTCTGAAGTCAGTCAGTCACATGCTCTTATATGTTATCTTTTGTGGATGTAAATGAACATTTTGCTGCTTCATTTTTGTTCAGGTGTTCAGCCCGCCTCCTAGCAATCACATTGTTCTTGTCTGCTTACCACAGTTCTATTAAAGACATATTGCAAGATCTAGCTTTGGTCATTAAGACACAAATAAGTCTGTTATGTATTTCCTGGGACCTTTTTCCACTAAAAAGGAGATACACAGGAAGAGACATTTTCCTTCCATTGGATATTCTTATGTCAGGATATGATTTGTGGCATACCAGCAGCCATCTTGTTACATGGTGGAGTTTCCTGAGAAGAAGAGACTATAAGATGGGAAAAGAATTGATTCTTGATTATCTACTTAAAACTCTAATCTGAAAGTCATGACTTATTAATATATAATATATTCTTGGTGTGAATCAAGTGAGTTTCATCTTTATGTAATTTTCTGCTTAAAGCATTTTAAGTGACATGGATGACATCTCTATCCTTTTATCACAAGGCACATTTTAATTATAGAAGAAACATTTATTTATTTATTTTGGCATCATTATTCAAAAGCAAATCTATACTTTCTCTTGGTAATCACTCTGTGAGTTATATACCCCTTTGTTTAGGTACAAAGAAATTAAGATAACATGAAGGCATTTCTTCTAAGAACAATAAAAGAAATGTGACAGAAGACACAGGAAAAAGTCCAAAAATTGCCTCTGGTATGAAAGGTTAGTACAAACTATATGTATAATTTAGCTACATGGAGAAAGGCAAATGATATTTACTTTCTGAAACAACTGGAAACATTGGCCCAGTAAAGTCAGTCATTTGTTTCATCAGTCTGCCAATTAGTGTACTAGGTGTTGACTTTTATATTGGCCTAGTTTTACCATTCAGTTTCTGCCTTGGGGAGGCTATATAGATAAATAGGTTGGGTAACGTGATTATGTACTTATTTGCAATAGATTACCACATAAATTTAGCAGCTTAAAAGTGTTTATCTCATAGCTTCTGTGGGCAAGGGCTCTACAAATAGTTTTACAAGGCACTGGGCTTCAGGGTCTCTCACAGGGCTAAAAGTCAAGGTGCCAGGCCAAGCTATGCTCTTACTTGAAGCCATGATTTCTACAGGATCCATTTCTTCATTTACTCCTTAGCTATCCACAGCATTCAGACTCTCTCCAAGGCTGTTTGTGTTAGGGCTTCAGTCCTTTACTGGTATTTAGCCTGAAGCTACCGTCAGTTCTTGCCATCTACTCAATATCTTTTTTTTTTTTTTTATTATCACAGAGAGTGTTTTACTTCTTCAAAATATCCAAACTGAGCAGACAATAGAGAGAAGTTACTAGGAAGTGGAAGTCACAGTCTTTATGAATGGGATCATGCAATAACATCTCATTGTGCTTGCTATAGGTGCCATGTTAGGGGCAACTCACTGGGATTAGTTCATATGCAATAGAAGGGGATTCTGAAAGGTATCAGTAAGTGGGAATCATTGAAGACCATATACTTAGTTATAGTCAGAGGTTTTCCTGTGTCCTACCCAGTCTTAGAGCCATTCAGACCCAAGTAAACACACAGAGGCTTGTATCAATTACAAATTTCATGGTCATGGCCTATGGCTCAATTTTCTTGCTAGTTAGCTCTTATAAGTAAACTCAGCCCATTTCTATTAATCTATATGTCACCACATGTTTCCTGGTTTTCCATGCTGTTCCCTGGATGGTGGGATGATGTCTTCTCTGCCTCTGCTTTTCTTCTTCCTGTCTCTCTTCTGGATTTCCCACCTGCCTCTAAGCTGCCTTCCCATAGGCCAAAAAGCTTCATTTATCAACCAATCAGAGCAACACATATTCATAGCATGCAGAAAGACATCCCACAGCACTTTGTTGTGACTAATATTGTTTGAATTGCTATAAGTTTGTTGTATATGGTACTGGGTTCCATAAGAACTTCTCCATGCAGGAATATAATGTTACTTGCATATATTCTCTTTTTCTTGTACTCCCTTGTTGTGTCTCTCTTTTCAAATGCACACACACACACACACACACACACACACACACACACCTTCCTCTCTTGACAGAAACCTAGGTTGATTCCATAGCTTAGTTAATGTGAATAGTGCTACAGTAAACACTGATATTCAAATACCTCTACACTATACTGACTTAGCATAGTAATGCAGAAGTGATAAAGCTGATCAACTTTTAGGTTTTTGAGGAACTCACACACTGATTTTCTTTGTGGCTAGACTGTTTTACATTCCCACCATCAGTGTGTAATATTTGTCTACACAAAAAGCAGTAGAGAATACTCAATAGAATTTGTTACAGAAACATGCAGAACAATAATCTCACCCCTTTAAAGAGAATAAAAATGAAAGCAAGATCATTAAAGGATATTTATGTAGAAATGAAGTTAAAATTGACAAAGCAAAAGACTCAAAGGGAAATGGAAGTACAATAGATCTGGATGTATTTCATCTGTGCCTTTTTATTGGTGAGATAAGTTTTGAACTTCTTCAAAATCAATATTAACTAGGCTTAATTATCACATGTTTCCAATTCTAGCACTTGGGAGGCTCAAGCAGGCGACTTCAGGGCCATTCTGGTCTTTGCAGTGAGTGACTATCCTGGGCTACCATGAGACCCTGTCCCCAAACAATCAAGAAAATAAACAAAGGAAGAAATAGCACCCCCCATAACCATCATACTTCAGTTCCTGGCTGTTTAGGCTGTACCAGTGTGTCTAGACCTTGGTCCTGTCTGTGCCAGTGTGTCTAGACCTTGGTCCTGTTTCTGCATCTCTTCTCTCTTCAGCTGTTCAGTGGTCCCAGTGTGTGGAGGAGAGGAACTGTTGTCTGTCAGTTCAACATGGTCGATACACAACAAAAGGCAATGGATTCTGTCGGAGTAAAATAAAATAAGACTGAATAGAAGAGAGGTAATTTTTTTTTTTTAGCACTTATGGGCAAGAGACCATATAAAGAGCAGAACACTGCAGCCAGGTTTCAAGTCTTATGATTTAGTTTGTATGGGACATACATATAACAGCAGAGAAATAATTAGGAAATTGCTTTTCTTAGCAATAGAGACCCACTGAAGCGTTATGAGAACAGAAACAGTCACTAGAATGAGAATGTAGAGCAGACTCATGCCAGGTTAGAGTAGAAGGCTTAGGATCCAGAGGTCATGTGGTAGAGACGGGCAGTACAGAGAACGAAGAGATTGTCTTCCGGTTGAGGGAATGTAAAGAACACGTGAAGAGACAATGAGAAGAAAGAATGAACTGATTTTGGCAGTGACGGAACATCAAGTTAACCACAAAGGAGAACTTGGGGGTAACTCACTTTGACCCTGGCTATCTGGTCCAATGTCAATACTGTTAAAGAAATATGGAAATTTGGAAGTTGATTTCTTCTTCCCACCCTTTCTTGATTTTTCCTGCTTTTCTCCATTATCCCCCTCCCTCCCTCTCCCTCCCTCCCTCTCTCCTTTCATCCCTCCCTTTCTACTTTTCTCATGTTCTCCTCCATTATCCCCCTCCCTCCCTCCTTCCCTATCTCCCTTTCTTCCTTTCTCCTGCTCTCCTCCATTATCCTCCCTCTCTTCCTTATTTCTTTGCTCCTCCATAAAAACAGATACTTTCAGTTTGAGATGCAACCAAAGGTCCCATCAAGCCTCTACACACAGTAGTTTTATCACTTGTCCAAATTCATGTCAGTAAAAGTCTTATTTTAAGCATATGGGCAAAAACAAAGCTTATTTAAACCTTACTAATGCCTGCCATTCTGGAAGAAGGTGAAATATATTCCCATCATCTTTACGGTGCTGGGATTTGTTTCTCAAATTCCCAGACTGAATTTCTGCCTAAATAAATAGCCATCAGATGACATTATGGGTCAATTTATCATAGGGTATTATAGATAATCAATTTACAAAGCATTTGGGAAAATTTTCCTCTAGCTGTTTTATTGGCTACTATTAGTGTCACATGTCAACCATCTATTATTTTGGATTTGCAACGGCAGCTATTCTTTTACAAGAAATCTAATCAATTTGATGCACAGAGGCTTATTATTGAGGTAAAATCCACACAACGACGAGGAAAGCTGCTTTTGTTCCAATGCATCTACCCCATGCTTTATGTTCCATTAGTGTACCAATATCTAGTTACGATTGTTCATAAGTGGTTAGAGCGATGCTGATCAATAAACTGTGATGGGTTAACTCAAGAGTATAGAAAATGAAAATGTGAAAGCTTTGTGTTTGCCTTACATGTGTAACACCAAACACAGAGAACAGAATCTCAGCTTTTAAGAAAGGAAACTTGTCAGATGAAGTTCACAAATTTCTCAGACTTGGCATGAGCAGAATTGGGGGCAAAACCGATGTAGATCCTAAAGCTGAGAGGAAGCTCATCCAGCTTGTCCTGAAGCTATAAGAGAGCCTGTGTGTCTTTCGGAAGTGAGCCTTAGCTGGTGCCAGGCATCTCTGGGTTATTATGAGGAGAAGTCTTAAAAGAAGTGTAACAAATGAAATGAAGCTAATTGGATGCCATTTAATTTGTAGTTCTCATGTTGCTTTTAGATATGTGAACTAATTGGCATCAAAACACTGGTAAGAGGCCAAAGCCTAGATAAAGCCTGGAAAGAGCTCAGGAAAGACTTTGGATATAACTAAGATGTGGCTGAACACAAAGGTTTTCTTATAATTGGTTGGGGTGAGGAGAATTGCAGACTGTAGCAGGAACTTGGATGGGTAGAGGAGCGAGGTGGAGTTTCCCTGATCAGTTGTGGGAAGAGAGTCCATGAGAAGCAGGTGTGTGGCCTTACCCAGCAAGATGTTGCAGAGGACATAGGAGCAGGGTACAGGATCCTGTGATCACAAGATGAACAGAGTGGAAAGTGTTCAAAGAGGAAAATGCTTCTGCTGCTAACATGCATCTTGTACAAAGAAATACTCCTGTTCACTTTGGAACTTGGTTACTCTAAATTCTTATCTCTGAAGATGGGAGCACAAATACAACATTTTGAAAAACTCTTTCTTAAAGAGTGTTTTAGGGTTCTATAAAGGAACAGAACTGATAGAATGAATGAATATATTTGTATTTATACATAAATTCATATATATTTGATTTATATATATTATACACACATACGGATATATGGATTTCTTAGAGCAGCTTACAGGCTGTGGTTTGGGTAGTCCAACAGTTACTATCTCCCAATGGAAAGGCAAAGAATCAGGCAGCTGTTCAGTCTGTGAGGTTGGGTGTCTCAGAGGTCCAAATCTGATGCTGCAACCCCAGGTAACTCCTAGAGAGCTGCTAGACTTGAGTCTATATTGGAATTCTGAAGAAGCAGGCTCTAATACCAGGGAAGGAATGCCTCCGCCACGGAAGAGATGAACTTGCCAAGGAGAGTGAGGGCCAACAGACAAAAGGGGACAATTCTTTTCTTCTGTGTTCTTTCATGTGGGTTGACAGAAGAAAGTATTCCCATCTCAAATGATCCAATTAAGAGAATCACTTATATGCAAGCCCAGCTCAGTGTTTTAGCTGATTACAGATGTAATCAAGTTGGTAGCCACGATTAGCCATCCCAAAGAGATTTTTAAAGAAACATGACATCGGATGGATTCATATTTTCATGGCAGTTTCACTGTAAGAGGAAAATACTTTCCCTATCGATGAAGACTCTGCATCATTCTTCCCCTTTCCACAAAGACTCCCAGTTGTTTTCAGAGTTCATAGTGCTGAAAAATACAAGAACCAAGCATATTCTTTGCGAACCATACTCTGCTATGTGAGGAGAGCCACCCCTTGAGGGAACTGAGAGGGAGCTCAGTGCTCTTGGGCTGAAGATACGCAGATGAATTTGACACAGTGGTTTTTGCCATCCCACCCTAAAAATCCTGCTTCTAGGAAGCAAAAGCTCACCAAGTTCCGATTGCAAACTGAAATTAAACTCTTTGTTCAGAAAGAAATTTAAACATTTTCAACAATAAAGACAAAGGCAAAACATTTAATTCTTTGAAGGATGACTTTTATTTATTTAAGTGACAATTTTTTGGTTTACTTTTAATGATTCTATTAGAAATGCGCCTTTCTATAGCATATTTGTAAGTATAGGGAAAACTAAAAAAAAAAAAAGTCAATTTAATTATCTTGCATTTCCCTTTACCAGAGATTCAGACTTTTAGTGCTTTCTTCTGGTATTTTCTCTTTGTTGCATGAAGTTTATGAATTAAAAATCACTGCCAGGTGGCCGCGGCCACACGCCTTTAATCCCAGCACTCAGGAAGCAGAGGCAGGTGGATCTTGTGAGTTCAAGGCCAGCCTGGGCTACAGAGTGAGTGCCAGGAAAGGCTCCAAAGCTACACAGAGAAACCCTGTCTCAAACACACATACACATACACACATACACACACACACACACACACTAAATAAATAAATAAATAAATAAATAAATAAATAAATAACCTTCATGATTTATATGAATTTTCTGTCCTTGCTTTTATTTAGCATCATGAATATTTTCTAATATTCCCTGCAGAGGCAGGTAACAGCCTGTGGTATAGATGATATCAGGTTTTTATCTCTCCGTCTTTAGTTAGGTACTACTTATACTTTGCCTTTTTATACTTCACAATTACAGCCATTTTCTCTCATTGCCAACATTCCTGCTCTTAAAGTGGAAACCATGTTTCTTCTTCTGGGATAGGTTCCTAGAACAGGATTGCTGAATGAAAGAAAAGAATAATTTTTAAAGTGTTAGCAATTATTGCCAAACTGTTTTCTAGATTATGCTAATCTATTTACTCTGTGCACAAACATTTTTTTTATCTCATTGCAACTTTTTCAGGATTTAATAATTGCTTTATTTTTATATGTGAATACGTTTTATTTTGAAAAATATAAAATGCCTCACAAATTTGCATATTATGCTAATTGTCTCTGTATAATTTCAGTTTTATAATATGTGCTGCCGAAGAAATCAGTAGTTTCTTTTTATTTATTATTGTTGTAAATGTGTCTGCATATGATGTGGTGTGTGAGTTCTGGCTGGTTTGTAGTAGCGGCTTTTCTGTTGCTATGAAGAGACACTGTCCAAGGCAGCTTACAGAAAGATTATTGGAGACTTGCTTACACTTTTGGAGGGTTGAGTTCATGATTACATGGTGATGAGCATGATAGCAGGAAGGCAGGCCTGGTACTGGAGCAGTCAGGAGCTGAGAGCTTACACATGGTCTATAAGTGACAGGCAGAAAGAGAGAGAGAGAAACTGAGGCTGGCCTGGCTGGACTTTTGAAACCTCAAAGTCTGCTATCAGTGTCACACTTCTTCCGACAAGGCCACACCTCATAATCTTTCCCGAGACAGTTCTGCCATTGAGGAACCAAGCATTCAAGGACATGAGCCTGCTCCGGTCATTTTCATCCACACCAGCACAGGTGTGTGCATGCCACAGCATGCACGTGGAGATTAGAGGACAATGCTTGCTAATCCCTTCTCTTCTTCCACCTTGGAACCTGGGAATTGAACTGAAGTCATTGAACATTTGTGGCAAATGCTTTTTATCCAACTATCCCCATCTTACTGACGCTCTTTAAACAATGTGTCATTAAAATATAAGAACCCTGTATTTCTTCTGGTTTTATTTTAAATTTCTTTAATGAGAAGTAAACTTGAATGTTCCATGAAAATATGAAATTTGTATTTTTCTTTAACATCTTGTTTATCTGAAGTATGACATATTATTGAAAAGGTTCATTCAATCTGCATTTTACTCTTTTGTCTAGATTGGCCAGAAGTTAAAAATTGGTATTTCCTCCAGCCTGTGAATGTAAATTGGGTTGGACCAGTTGGATATGTAATCATACATTTCGAATGGCAGAAGGAGACTGACTACTTTCAAAAGAAGAGCTGGTACACTAGTGTCTTCCAGCACATGTGGATATTGGTTGTACTCACATCTCACATTTCATAGCTAGTGTCCAGTTTCGTGGATATGGAACTATTATGTCAGCAACAAAGTTCCCAGTGAAGTTCATAAACATAACAGAGGCATCGCTTAGTTACCAAATCCTCAGGATTCTTTTTTTGTAGTATGCTCATATGGGATGCTGTGACTTATTTCTTAAGAATTTTTTTAAAAGTTTTTTCTATAGCCATGCTAATTATGCATGTGTGCATGTGCATTTGTGTGTGTGTGTGTGTGTGTGTGTGTGTGTGTGTGTGTGTGTGTACATGTACACACAGAAGACCACGTATTTTAAAAATGAAAGTATTATTGGGCAAAGGTATGAAGGATACTGAGGGTTATGGGTCCTCATCTATCATGGCTGTTAGTATGTCTTCCTTGGGTTTCTTCATGGTGCTGCTAGGTGTTGTTCCTACCAAAGCCCTTACCCATTCCCACCCTGTGGCCTTATCCCTTTGGTTCTTCCCACCTCCCAGACTAATGTCCCTTTCTTTGGATCCTATGCTCCAATAATGTACTAATTGGTGACAAAGGCTTATTAATTACCTTAAGTAGACTCTGTCACTGTGTTAGCTGTGTTACTGATCACTTTCTTGGATAGTGATGTTTTAATCCTTAAAGACCAATGCTCAGCTTCTTAGTCAATTACAAGCCTGGCTGAGGGAAGGGAATATATTTGAACAAAAGTAGTATTTTTTGCTGGCTCCTTTTCCTAAGAGAGACAATGACACAAATCTGTTCAAATAAATTAAGGTTGCCTTTTTGAAGACTACCCCATATGGCAGTAGGAAGGTATGTCTGCCAACTTGTAGGCTGATGCATGCGCCCCACAGATCTCTGCTGAATATTTCACTGCAATGAGTGGGAAGGAGCACACTTGTTATTAGGTTTCCAGTAACAGTCACTGGCCTATTTATTTGCTTAACAGTGTGATCTGTTTATGCAGGGGCTTGCAGTGAGAGAAGGATCTTGCATCCAAGGAAGAGAGGTGATATGAACAGGTAACTCAATGTATCAAAATGGTTGATGGGCTCATTCAGTGTTTCGAACAAATGGCTTATATGCACTGACATAACTTTACAGGGAGGTTGACTAGAACTTTATAGCACTTCTTTGAGGAGTGAGTAACGTCAGAGAAGGAAACTTTTGAGATGGTCTTAGATACTCAGGACAGTCTAATGCAGAAATATTGTAAAGAAAAACTTTAGCTCATAGAAGGGTCTTTAAGCTCTCCATTTCAACCAAGGTTGACATTTTGTTTGGCCGAAGAATGTCAGTAGCCAGTGGCTTTGAGGCCTGAAGAAGTGGTCAGCTCATGGCTGGAAAGCAGGAGAGTGAATACTTTTGTGGGATGCCCTTTACAACAGTGCAGGCTTCTTCGTTACCAGGTGATGCTGATGTTAGGAAGCCACCGGCTCAGGTCATTTATCAAATAATCCACCAATGGAAAGCCATTCATTTCTAAAGCCCCAAAGAGGGAAAATATGTTTCCATAAGATTCATTCTAATTAACACTGGTGATGCCTGTCACTTTTCAGTGTGATAGGATTTCAAATTAGAGCAGCATGCAGATGCCCCAGAGATAAACTGTCTCCTGCTCTCCTGAAAGAGTATGGGTGGGACGGGGCACAGAAGTGGGAAAAGGCAGTGAAGCACATTTCTCTTTTGTTCAGGTGGCTTTTGTTTGTTTTCTTTCCTTTCATTTTTCATTTTTGCTCTGTAAGTGGAGTGACTGCGGCAATGGTGTGTGCTGTGTTTCTCTTTTTGCGACATGACGAGACTTAATCTAAAATGGTTCTTTACTTTTGAGTAAGTCCTCTCTTTTTTCCACACTGCAGGGGGCTGCCAATATGAATTTTTGCCTTTTTGAATGTGTAAAAGCGAAATATTATGAGGTGAACTTTTCTAGAGGTGTAATAAGATATTCAGGAGACAATTCTCATTAGGAAAATGCTGAGGGTTCTCAACTTAGTGCCCACCTGCAGGTCTTGCTATAATCTATTCTAGACAGTAAGGAGGTTGAAACTTTTGTCAGAAAGAACTAAAGTAATGTCAAATGACCATAGGATCTGGTTGTTACAGAGTTAGATGTGGGTTATGACTCCAGATATTGGGGTGTGAGGCATGAAAAACTTGGCAGTAGTAAAAATGTTGGGAATACACAATGATAAAAAAAATCAATTTAAATCAAATGCTCCCTGAACTTCAGGTGTTTTGGACAGTGCTTGCCCATGTTGTATAATGCATTTTTTTTTATTCTAGTCTTGGTTCTGGACATATTAGTATATGGTAGTTCTATGTACTGTACACACTCTCATGCTAATGAATACTGCCTGATCACATTAGCTCAGATTTATTGTATGTTATGAGCTTTGTTGAACATTCAAAGTTTTTCCTTGTATAGAGGCATAATGGATTATTATACAAGCTTATGACTGTAAACAGCACTTTAAATATTTTTCTCAATGTTTAATTATCAAAGTAGTAAGTTTTTTGTGCTGCATTGTGTTTGAATGATTTGAAAATTTTCTATTTGTGTTACTGACTGGAGTTTCATGAAATATTCATGTAATGAATTCTGGGCTAAGATTAGGGCAGATTTCTGAATAGTTTCTGAAATGACCTTAAACATTTTCTATAAGTATTTACACTAAATATCTATTTTTCAGCATTAATGATAATAAAATCAAGTATCGATCAATCCTGAAAACTATTGAAGAAACTTTGTATCCTGCAGCACTAAATATTCAACCAAGACTTCTGTATTCTACAAAGACAAACAATTGAACCCATCTCATTAACATGAACATTTGGTAAAATTATGTCTACTGAAATTGTTTTAAATAAATTGGCTTATGATTTGCTGTCAGTAAATGTTTGATTTGTGGATCTACCTTTCAGTACCTGGGTTTGCATAGTAAGAATTGGACAGAAAGGTGTTGTGAGTAGAAAATGTTTAAGAAGCCCTGCTAGTCAGCAAATTGAATATTTGTAAATTGGATGTAGGCACATTTAGCATGCTGTTCACGAGCTTTTAAAATTTTTTTTGATGGCATGTGTGAATTTTATGATCCAACATGTGAGTGTGATGATATCAGATAAATGGCAAATTCTTTGATTATGTTACATCAAATCCAAATGATTGTAGTCAATATTTGTTTCAAACACCTTGGATGTCTGTGATGGTGACTAGCTCATTTGGTTTAGTCAGTTCATTCTCTCACTCATTCATCAAATAGTGTTGTACTTGTGGCATTTGTCAGGAAGTACTAGGAACACAGCAGCAGCCAGTGTGCAAATAAGGTTCCTGAGCCAAATGGCCATTATAGAGTCAAGTGCACTGTACTGAATGAATAATTATAGCCAAGTGTGACGGACCTTTGATGTAGCAAGAAGAGCTATGATAGATACATAGAAGGAGAACAATATAGGAAAAATTAGAGTCTGGGCATGGGCAATAGTCAAGAAATCTCTCTCTGGGAAAAATAAGTAGCAGAGACTGGGTTAAATACATGGGCAAGCACCATTGGCTGTAGCCCACACTCACTCTTTTTATTTTAGGCTGTATTTCCATTCAGAGGCTTTCAATGAAAGGTGCCACTTAAAAAAATCAAATCTCTATAGTTCTGTGTTTTTTAACTATAACTTTACTTATAGTTTTTACAAAGCCCCTTTCTAGGCAATATTTTTCTTTTCTGTATATATTGGAGTGTGTGGATCTCAACAGGCGGACCTCTTAAGGCCCCTGCTTTCTGCCCTGCCATGTAGAGGAGGATGTTGGGATCATTATGGCATCTACCTATGTTCATGTTGGTTGGAGGAACATGATTCACCAGTCTGTACATAAGGCTATGAAATGACACCAACTCTTTCACATATTATTCTCTTCATAACCTCTTATATGAAACTGAGGCCATCTTAATTCGTTTGTGACCTGAAGAATTGTAGTGTATTTCAATTCAGATAATTCTGTTGTCCTGTTAGTGCTTCCTAGGAAGATCTACATACCCAAATAAGATATCTAAGTGGATTCGAGGTGAGTGTGATAGCCTTGGAGAGGGCAAATGAAACCCCAGATAATGATGCCAAAGTAGGAAGTTACAGAGCAGAGTGGAGCCTTTCCTCTGTAGCAGTGAACAGCTTGGGAAGACTAAGGAAGAGTTGTTTCTGATTGGCAGGATTTGAGCAATCTGCCCATTAGAAACAATCCTAAAGCAGGAGCAGATGTTCAGGGTTGAAGGGGCAAGGTCATGGAATATGAGGATTTGGCCACAAGCCCGGAATAGAAGTTGAAAAATTTCATAGGGATGTCTGGAAAGCTGCAGCTTGGGGATTTGAGTGGCCGCAGGGGAAGTCGCAAATTGAAGCTAGTGTGAATCTGGGCCTGGGTGACTAAGGGATTCACGTCTCTGGAAAGAAAATAGATCCAAGAAATATTTCTGCCTTTGATGAGGATAGAAATTTAGAGGAACTTGCAGGCTTGTTCCAGAAACCCACATGTCACTTCAGTAATAATGGAGTTATTTTACCAGATGCATCAGAAAAAAGAATGGCTAGCAGAGGCCTTTTTTTCCCAAAGCTTCTACTGAGACAAATGGTGATGTAAAAATGGACAGGACTGAGAATTACTGGTCTAGGGAAAAGACATTGTTCATGAAAATTTAGATAAAGGTACCTAATTGGGTGTTATATAACTATGCTGTCTCTCTATTATGTTCCGGGGACAGGTTTCATCTCCTGGATCAGCTCCAGCCAATGCTCTGTCATTCTAGTTAGTGCGGCTTCTTAATGTCTTCATAGGAATCTGTTTTGTATGTGGGGACAAGGCAGATCCAGAGTTAGGCTTCAAATCTTATACCCGATCACCAGTAGGTGATTAGAAATCAGGTTGAGCAATGTTAGGTGCAGCAAGACTTGTTTAGGAAGAGATTGGAAGGACGACACAGAAAGATACTCAGCCTGCATCTTCCAGAATGTGGAAGGCTGAAGCTACTTCATAGAAACAAGATGAAAACTTCCCACTTAACTGACCCAACTGTGAGTACATAAATTATAGGAAGATGCTTTACACCATCATTGCATTGCCCGTGGCAATCTTATAAATCAAGATGCTCTTTGAACCACGCTGGCTACTCTTTGGGGGGATGTTTGAGATGTGTCTCTTGTGTGACAGCAGCAGAAGCTCCTATTTTTTTTAATGAGATTTTTTTGATGTATTTAATTATTTATGTATACAGTATTCTGTCTGACCGCCAGAAGAGGGCACCAGATCTCATTACAGATGGTTGTGAGCCACCATGTGGTTGTTGGGAATTGAACTCAGGACCTCTGGAAGAACAGCCAGTGCTCTTAACCTTTGTGCCATCTCTCCAGCTCTGAAGCTCCTACTCTTAAGCCAACTGAGAGTGTCTTAGAGCAGATCCTCCCTAAACTTTGAAACGTAGGCCTGCCGTTGGAAAGCACAGAAGTATGGGGCCAGGAATAGGTCCAAGAGAGCTCAGGTAGATTATAGCTTTGGGTAGCTCTGACTGCAGAAAGTGATTGGAGGTGTGAGCTGGAGGAACGGCCAAGCAGGCGAGTGTTTTAGAATTCAGTTAGAGCAAAGGCAGAGTTAGTCATAGTAGGGTGACTGCTCGCCGTAGATGCTGTATTTAGATAGGCTTGCACACCTAGCCAAAGAAGTGAATGAAGGGTAGATGCTGTATTTAGATAGGCTGGCACTCCTAGCCAAAGAGGTGAATGAAGGGGTGAAGAGCTTGTTGTGGGTCTTCCCCCATGGGAAAGAGTAAGCATGGGGACACCTGGGTCCTGTCCAGAAAGGCCAGATTGGGAGTGACAAAAAATAGTGGTGCAGTTTATCAACTTGACACAAGGTAGAGTCATTTGGGAAGTGGGAACTTCCGTTGAGGAAAATTCCCCCACTATATTGCCTGTGGAACATTTTCTTGATTGATAATTAATATGGGAAGGCCCAGCTGACTATGGGTTGTGCTATTCCTTGACCGGTGGTCCTGGATGCTATAAGAAAACAGACTTAGCAAGCCATGGGGAACAAGCCAGTCAAAAAAACGCACCTCCATGGCCTCTGTATTTGTTCCTGCTTTGAGTACTGCTCCAGTTTACCTGGATGATGGATTCATGTGGAATTTTAAGTGAAATAAACCCTTTCCCCACAAGTTGCTCTAGGTCATAGTGTTTCTTCACAGCAAAAGAAAACTCAGCTAAAACAACAGCAGAAAATATTTCCAGGTATGTTCAGGAACTGGGAAAGGAAAGCATTTGGAAGTCTACCCACTCAGGAACAAACTCTTGGAACGGATATTTGGTGCCAGGACAGAGCAACGGTAGATAAGAGACATCTACAAGGAGTCCCTTGTAACACATCCCTGGAGAGAAAAAAGTCACTTTCCTCAGTCTGCTGGGTACCACCCAGAGACACAAATTTGGCAGACTAAGATGTAGGAAGGCAACCAGATTAGGGAAGAAACAACATGTCCATATTTGTTCCTACCCTATCCTTCCCTTGCAAGGACAAAGTAGTGATTTGAAGTTTAGAAGGGGCAAAGTTCTAGGTAAGAGTGCAGAGAAATGCCATGCTGTCCTTGGTGTGTTTGACTAGGTCAACTCTGATGCTTGGATGTCTAGAATTGTACTCTCTCATTACTGCATTTGTTTCTGCATTCACTCAAAGCAGAGATCAGTGAACACTTAGAATCAACAATTTTGTCTTGCAAGAGTTTTCCTACAGCAGAAAAGGGGCATATAGCCAATGAACGCAGTTTGAAGAGACCTCGGCAACAGAAACAATTTTTTTTTTTCGAGACAGGGTTTCTCTGTGCAGCTTTGCGCCTTTCCTGGAACTCACTTGGTAGCCCAGGCTGGCCTTGAACTCACAGAGATTTGCCTGGCTCTGCCTCCTGAGTGCTGGGATTAAAGGCATGTGCCACCACCGCCCGGCTAACAGAAACAAATTTGTATGGTATGTTTTTTAATCAAGCCGCTATAGGAATCAGGCTACTAGTACTCTAATGAGAATATGAACGATAGATAATAGAGAATGCTAGACACATTCTGATACCTTAAGTCTGATCCACACCAGTAAGCTTCATTGTATTATAGTAGAGAATGGAATTTCCTTCTAGATGGAGACAGGAATTAACAAGAGTTAATTCAGTTGGGCAGGTCAAGGACCTGACTAGGGGATGACTCTTAGAAAGATGGTTCACGTTAGGATAATACACGTTTCCTTCCAGTAATTCCTACCCTCTAGTGCAGCGCCTACAAGCTGCCATGAGCGTTGGCTGGGCCCATCTGCCTTTCAGAGTCTTTACTTAGGTGTAATTATTTCTTTTCCTTCTGGATGTTAGCCAGAGCCTAAGTGTGCTTTTAAACTCCCTGATGCCCTGGGCTTCCTTATTTCTCTAATCTCCCCTCCACCCCCATGTGGCTGATCCCTGTCCCAGTTTATCTTGTCTAGCCTCCTCCTTCAGGCAGCTGTGAGATTTACAGTTTGCCTCTCCTGGAATTTTTCTTTGAAACTCTCATTAGCTGTCCTCAATCTTCTGTTTGAGTCTCTTCCTAAGTTTTATTATTAATGAGGCCAAGATTCCAAAAGTGGGTCTACATTTCCAGGTATCATATGGTGGCTCTACCATGACTTCCAAGATTTCTGGTCATACCCTTCTTGCTTAGCTTTTAATTGGTAGAGAAAAAAAAATCATCCTTGCTCTGTTAGACAGCATCATGTATGTCCTGGATGTCACACATGCTTTTAGGATCTGGCTAGGGCTTCATTTTGGAA